AATTGCCATTTTTAGACAGTTTTAAAACAAACAATGACAAAAGCATTCGCTGAGCACTTTTCCCTCTCTGCTGTCCCTCTCCTCACGTGCAAAACCTGAAGGACATCTTATTTTTTGCTTATTTTTTTTCATTTTGTTTTGTTTCTAAGCCCGTTAAGCATTTTTCTGCCTCTCCTCGAGGCACACGGAGCTCTGTGTGTTTGCACAGCACTTGGTTGCATGGCCTCACCTCCAGGCACAGGGAAACTGCAAACTCTGCATTTGCAGATTAGGACCCCGGTGACACAGAGTGACCATTGCATTTGGAAAGCAGAAGTCACACAGCTGCCCACAATGACCAAAGCACGGGGCCTGGGTGTCCTCGAGTCACCCATGTTTTGGGAGGCTTTTGGAGTGAGGGTGCTGAGCAGAGCTCTGCTCGGTGATTGTGAGCCTGCTGCTTGTTCCCACAGGTGGTACTTTGGGAAGATCACTCGTCGGGAGTCCGAGCGGCTGCTGCTCAACCCTGAAAACCCCCGGGGAACCTTCCTGGTCCGGGAGAGTGAGACGACGAAAGGTGACCCCCATATCCCCCTTTCTTTCTCTGCCAGAGCCACAGTGCTGGGAGCAGCCCTGCAGGGGTCCTCCAGCACTTGGTCACCGCGTGGTCCCAACCCCCCTGTCATAGGTGTACCAAAGGAGATGAGCCTCCTGCACTGCATTCACCTGCAGTTTCACTCGTATTCTGCTTTTATAGATGTCCCCTTCACACTCTGCTCTTGTCCCATTATCCAAGCTGGAGACAGAGGTGTCCCATGCATGACATCCTGGTTTTACCCACTAAGGTTTTCCCACTGATGTGCCCACATAACTCTGAAGTGTTGGGAACAACACCATGTCCTCTCCTGGGCTTTTTTGCGTGTTATTTTTGTCCCTGGGCAAATGAGTTTTGTTTTTTCTTAGCCTCTGTGTAATGGCAAAATCTCAGTTGTGAAGAACTAGGTGGAGGCAGTGATGGATTTTTACGCCCTTTCAAGTCTAATGACTCTTTCTCCCTGTTTTTTTCCTCCCAAATGTACAAGTTTGATCTCAAGAGCTTGGCTTTCTGAGGATGCTTTTTCTTACCTGGAAGCATGCTTTAGTCTGGCTCCAAATGCCCCTTTGGGAAAAATTCCTTGATATTTTTTTCTGTTTTGATGCTTTGAGCTTGGCACCATTTACTTTATTCCATTGGAAGCAGTTCATTCAGCAGCCTTCCCTCTTTCTGTTTGTGGCCCCAGACTTGTGCTATCACAGCTGTGTGGGCACAGCAGAGCCAGGCACTGGAATCGATGCACATAGCCTAGAGCATAGGATGTAGGAGCATATAACTGGGTCTGCAGCTCCCCATCCCTCCCTATATCCCTGCTTCAGCATCCCCCAGTTGCTGCCACTTTGCTCCCTGTGCCTTACAGTGCTGCTTGGCTGTGGCAGTAATTGTAAGTGATAGAGAAGAGGTGCTTTTTGGAGGTAAAACCAGCAGCCTGCTCCTGCTGCACCAACCCCTGTGGGGTCCCTGTGCAGTTCCCGAGCCACTCGGTTGTGCCCTCA